CCCCAAAATGCGCAAACAGAATCCAGACATACGAAAAGAACCAAAAAACGTCCCCTGACTATTTTCTGACTCTTGTTGAATCTTCCTGCTGTAGAGGGACATGCCCAACTGAACATCAGCATGTTGGGGTGACGCCGCTTGGGCCTCTGCGCCGGCGCCCGGGCCGCGCGCGGCGCGCCCGCACGGCCCCCCCGCGCACTCTGGGGCGCCCGCTCGGGCCGCCGGAGCGGCCGCCGCCGCGATCGGGCCGGGCAGCGCCCAGGGGGGGCCAGCACCCAGGGTGGGCCACCTACCAGAGTTAGGTCGGGCGTGTCCTCCTGCAGGCGGACCTGGGGCGAAAAACGAGAAAAGCATTCAAAACATATTCAAACAGAATCGATAAAAAACAGTCGAAGGACCGTCCCCAGACTACGTTTTCACTATCGAGGAGACGGACCATCCTCTGGACCCTCTCACCCCCTCGCAGGCTCCCAGAGACGCCCCAAGATTCGACCAGCAACCTCGTCGATATTGGAATACCATGTGGGACTGGCTCTAGAACGTGGACATGCCGTAGCCGGACCTACCTTTCTCCGACCTTGCACCGCGCCGAACGTAACGGCCGCGTTGCCCATAGGCGCATCCACCCCGAAAGTGTCTGCGGACGTCACGGCACCCAATGTGTCCATAGACGTTTTTGGCCAGGACGTGGGAACGGTATTCGGCATCGGCCCCAGATGCTGGCCTTCCAGAAGCAGGTCGGCTTGGCCCTCCCCGAGGAGACGGACCATCCCCTGGACCCTCTACCCCCCCGCAGGCTCACAGAGGCACCCCAAGAAGCGACCAGAAACCTCGTCGATCCTCGATCCGTTCGGCCAGAAGCCTCGTCGACTCCGTTTCCCCCAGGAGGAGGCGGCGCGTGGCGGCGCCCACGAGAAGGAGCGGCGCGAGGGGGGGGCGGCCTCCGGAGAGAGCGGAGAGACCTTCTCTCAGAGGGCAGGGGCCGTCCAGGAAGGCCGCAAAGGCTCACCAACGAGAAGGCCCCGCAGAAGCCAGGCGGCTTTTACAGAAGAAGGAGAAGAAGAAGAAGAAGAAGAAGACAAAGGAAAAGAGGAATTACCCTGGCGACGTACCCAACCCCTGCGCAATGCGGGGCATGAGTAGCTTGGGAGGCGTTATACAGAAGTGATGACGTGACATGGGCTCATATATTTCTGCAAGCGGCACTCGTGAGGCTCGCAGCTCTTCAAGGATTGCGAGGTCCCGCTCAGATCTGCGTGGTGCCTCACTCCGCTGGACCCGCCACCAGCCTGTGGAAGCAGCGACAGTTTCGCAGATCGCAGCACCGCAGGGACGGCGAGATCCCTCTCAGATCTGCGCGGTGCCTCTCTCCGCTGGACCCACCAGCAGCCCTCGAAAGTGGCGACAGTTTCGCAGATCGCAGCCCCCCAGGGACGGCGAGGTCCCGCTCAGATTTGCGCGGTCTCACTCCGCTGGACGCCCTCGAAAGTGGTGACAGTTTCGCAGATCGCCATGCTGGCCCCACCACCAGCCCTCGAAAGTGGCGACAGTTTCGCAGATCGCAGCCCCTCAGGGACGGCGAGGTCCCGCTCAGATCTGCGTGGTGCCTCACTCCGCTGGACCCACCCCGCCAGCAGCCCTCGAAAGTGGCGACAATTTCGCAGATCGCAGCCCCCCAGGGACGGCGAGGTCCCGCTCAGATTTGCGCGGTCTCACTCCGCTGGACCCACTAGCAGCCCTCGAAAGTGGTGACAGTTTCGCAGATTGCTACGTTGGCCCCCCAGGCAGCCCTCGAAAGTGGCGACGGTTTCGCAGATCGCAGCCCCCCAGGGACGGCGAGGTCCCGCTTAGATCTGCGCGGTGCCTCTCTCCGCTGGACCCACCAGCAACCCTCGAAAGTGGCGACCGTTTCGCAGATCGCACCCCCCCAGGGATAGCGAGGTCCCGTCCAGATCTGCGCGGTGCCTCACTCCGCTGGACCCACTAGCAGCCCTCGAAAGTGGCGGCAGTTTCGCAGATCGCAGCCCCCCAGGGACGACGAGGTCCCGCTCAGATCTGCGCGGTGCCTCACTGCCTCATTCCGCTGGACTCACCAGCAGCCCTCGACAGTGGCGACAATTTCGCAGATCGCAGCCCCCCAAAGATGGCGAGGTCCCGCTCAGGTCCGCGCGGTGCCCCAGATCACTCCGCTGGACCCACCAGCAGCCCTCGAAAGTGGAGACAGTTTCGCAGATCGCAGCCCCTCAGGGACGGCGAGGTCCCGCTCAGATCTGCGTGGTGCCTCACTCCGCTGGACCCACCCCGCCCTCGAAAGTGGCGACGGTTTCGCAGATCGCAGCCCCCCAGGGACGGCGAAGAGAGGGCAGGAGGAGGCGGGAGGCGGGAGGAGAAGGGACGCGACCACAGTACTCTGTTCAAAACGAATACCCAACCAAGGAGGGTTGGGAATAAGAAGAAAACGCAAACGCCAGAAGCATAAACTGTTGGCGCTCCGCGCGGATTTCTTGCATGTGCGCCCCTCCCTGGCGCGCGGAGCGCACCAGGGGCGGCGCCGGAGGCGCCGCCGGGGGGGGGGGCCCAGCGCGGATCCAAGAACTCCGAGCGGAGCGCCAAAAGCGTATGCTTATGGAGCTTGGTTCCTCTTCTCCGACTCTACGAGGCAGCCCCCTGCCTTCTTCGACGCCCCGCCGTATTCTTATAGAGGCTCTCCGCCCCCCTCGCGCCACCCACCTTCGGGTCGCCGCCTCGGCCCAGGCGCGGGCTCTCCCGAAACTCTCGGAGGAGGAGGAGGGGGAGGAGGAGGCGGAGGAGGAGGGGGAGGAGGAGGAGGAGGAGGAGGAGGAGGAGGAGGGGGAGGAGGAGGAGAGGAGGAGGAGGAGGAGGAGGAGGAGGAGGAGGAGGAGGA